ACACCATGGTTTGTGTTAGGCTCACCTTAATCTTCAAGGTGACATCTGTGCTTTTTAACACTTTAAAGAGATCTTTTGGAGCACATTTGCCCAATGCAGTGCATCTTTTGATTTCTTGACTGCTGCTTCCATGGATATTGATTCTGGATCCAAGTAAAATGAAATCCTTGGCAACTTCAGTCTTTTCTCCATTTGTAATGATGTGGCTTGTTGGTCCAGTTGTAAGGATTTTTGCCTTCTTTATGTTGAGGTGTAATCCATAGAAGGCCGTGGTCTTTGATCTTCATCAGTAAGCTCTTCAAGTCCTCTTCACTTTCAGCAAGTAAGGTTGTGTCATCTGCATATCTCAGGTTGTTAATGAGCCTTCCTCCAAACCTGATGCCACATTCTTCTTCATATAGTCCAACTTCTCAGATAATTTGCTGAGCATACAGATTGAATAAGTATGGTGAAAGGATACAACCCTGACACACACCTTTCCTGACTTTAAACTCTGCAGTATTCCCTTGTTCTGTTCGAACAACTGCCTCTTCGACTAAGTACATGTTCCTCATGAGCACAATTAAGTGTTCTGGAATTCCCATTCTTTGAAATGTTATCCATAACTTGTTATGATCTACACAGTTGAATGCCTTTGCGTAGTCAATAAAACACAGGTAAACATCTTCCTGGTATTCTCTGCTTTCAGTCAGGATCCATCTGACATCAGCAATGATATCCCTCATTCCACGACCTCTTCTGAATCTGGCTTGAATTTCTGACAGTTCCTGTCAATACAGTGCCACAACCGCTTTTGAATGATCTTCAGCCAAATTTTACTTATGTGTGATATTAATGATATTGTCGATAATTTCCACATTCTGTTGGATTACCTTTCTTTGGAATGGGTGTAAATACGTATCTCTTCCAGTCAGTTGGCCAGGTAGCTCTCTTCCAAATTTCTTGGCATAGACGAGTAAGCACTTCTAGCATTGCATCCCTTTGTTGAAATATCTCAATTGGTATTCTTTCAATTCTGGAGCATTGGTTTTCTTCAGTGCCTTGGCTCTTCCCTCTGTACCATCGTTTTTTGATCATATGCTACCTCCTGAAGTGGTTGAACAGTGACCAGTTCTTGTCGGTACAGTGACTCTGTGTATTCCTTCCATTCTGTTTTGATGCTTCCTGCATTGTTTAGTATTTTCCCTGTGGAATCCTTCAATACTGCAACTTGAGGCTTGAATTTTTTCTTTAGTTCTTTCAGCTTGAGAAATGCAGAGCGTGTTCTTCCCTTTTGGTTTTCTAACTCCAGGTCTTAGCACATGTCATTATAATACTTTGTCTTCTCAAGCTGCCCTTTGAAATCTTCTGTTCAACTCTTACTTCATCATTTCTTCCATTTGCTGTAGCCACTCGACATTTAACAGCAAGTTTCAGAGTCTCTTCTGACATCCGTTTTGGTGTTTTCTTTCTTTCCTGTCTTTTTAATGACCTCTTGCTTTCCTCACAGATGATGTCTTTGATGTCATTCCACAACTCGTCTCGTCTTTGGTCATTAGTGTTCAGTGCGTCAGATCTCTTCTTGAGATGGTCTTTAAATTCAGGTGGGATATACTCAAGGTCCTACTTTGGCTCTCATGGACTTGTTCTAATTTTTTTCTACTTGAACTTGCATATGAGCAATTGATGATTTGTTCCATAGTTGGCCCCTGACCTTGTTCTGACTGATGATATTGAGCTTTTCCATCATCTCTTTCCACGGATGTAGTCAGTTTGATTCCTGTGTATTCCATCTGGCGAGGTCCACATGTATACTCACCATTTATGTTGTTGAAAAAACGTATTTGCAATGAAGAAGTCGTTGGTCTTGCAAAGTTCTATCGTGTGATCTCCTGATCATTTCTATCACCAAGGCCATATTTTCCAATTACCAATCCTTCTTTGCTTCCTACTTTTGCATTCCAGTTGCCAGTAATTACCAGTGCATCTTGATTGCATGTTTGATCAGTTTGAGACTGCAGAAGTTGATAAGAATCTTCAATTTCTTCAACTTTGGCCTTAGTGGTTGGTGCTAGATTTGAACAGTAGTTGTATTAACTGGTCTTCCTTGTAGGCATGTGGATATTATCCTATCACCGACAGCGTTGTACTTCATGATAGACCTTCAAATGTTTTTTTGACAATGAATTTGATACCCTTCCTCTGCAATTTGTCATTGCCAGCATAGTAGACCATATGATTGTTTGATTCATAATGGCCAGTACCAGTCCATTTCAGCTCACTAATGCCTAGGATATTGAAGTTTGTGTTCCATTTCATTTTTTGACAATTTCCAGTTTTCCTAGATTCATACTTCATACATTCCACATTCCTGTTATTATTTTGCAGCTGGTTCTTCTCATTTTGAGTTGTGCCACATCAGCAAATGAATGTCCTGAAAGCTTGACTCCATCCACGTCTTTAAGGTCAACTGTACTTTGAGGAGGCAGCTCTTCCCCAGTTGTATTTTGAGTGCCTTCCAGTCTGAGGGGCTCATCTTCCAGCACTATATCAGACAGTGTTCTGCTGCTATTCATAAGGTTTTCGCTGACTAATTTTTTTCAGAAGTAGACCCTCAGGTCCTTCTTCCTAGTCTGTGTTAATCTGGAAGCTCAGCTGAAACCTGTCCACCATGGGTGACTCTGCTGGTATTTGAATGCCAACGGCCTAACTTCCAACATAACGCAAGCCCCCACAGTATGACAAACGGACAGACACATGGGTGAGGTAGTTCTTATAAGAGCGTAATGCCCCAGGCAGACTTTTTTTTTACTATTTAGGCTGAACTATTGTTCATATAACCACCATGTTTTAATGTAGCATCAGTAGATTGGATAAAGTGATTACTCTCTGTGTTTAAGTTCCTGAATTCCCCTTCTAGACATTTTATTCTATTAGATATTTTGTTGCATATTTGGATACCGTATGGGTTTTTCAAAGCCTATTATACTTCCATTAAAAAAGTTTTTTTTTAGCAACCATAATAACGTCCATTAAGTGAGTGATCTAATCTTTATCATTCGTTTCTTTTATTTATCACCATTCTCAAAAATCTGTTTGCAACTGTAGTTATTTCTAGTTTTTAGCAAGTTTTTCTAGTAACCAACATTATTTCTTTTTTCTTTAGTTAGATGACATTGATGTAAATTATCTTCTTTACTTACTGTCTCTCCTTCTTTCCTATCTTCTTATTTCCTTTCCCAGTAGAACTCTTCCTCCCTCAAACCATTTGACTCCATTGAACTTCAGCTTATTACTTAAAAGATGTTCTATGTTCAGGAAAATGAATTTTGCCATGCCTCTTCTCATTCTTTTACTCCTAGGAGTGCAGTTTGGGGGCCAGGATTGAAGATAGGGAACACTAATTGGGAAGATCTGCTTTATATATGTAGTGTTGTGTAATGCTGAATGTAGTAGAGAGGAAAATAGTTTGATAATTGTATTTCTGTAACCACAGGGTATCAGAATATCTTTCAGTATACAGTATATCTCTGTTCTTTATAGCCTTTCAGATACCCATTTCTCTTCTTATGGAATTTTGCTGCTGTACCAGATAGAGGAACTTAGATCGCAAATTCATAACTACAATTTAGCACTATACTGTCAGTACACCATGAGCAAAGATTTCCATTTTGTATTGTATGATTCCCCTTAAATCAGAGAATGTTCCTTTTTTATATATGTTTGTACTACATTGAGTATCTATGCTATATGTTCTGGTTATAATTCTGAAACCATTTTGGTGACTTGTCCTTTAGATTGCAATGCAGAACCAAATCAACACAAACCCAGAGAGTCCCGACACTGTGACGATACATGCCGCAACACCACAGTTTATCATCGGACCTGGAGGGGTGGTGAACCTAACAGGTCTGGTATCTTCAGAAAATTCATCCAAGGCAACAGGTATTGAGATGCATACAGGATAGCTGTTGGACAGTTATTACGCTTTTAGTAGGTATTCATCCTTTTAAGAAAGGACTGTTGAAGAATGAGGGTAAGATTATATCAGCTACCTTGGTCTTTGTATCACTGGAAAAAACAAATTTTTCTGAGACAAAATAAAGAAAGATAATATTGCAAACACTGCAATATTATCTTCAAAAACTAATGCTATCCAAGCTTGTTTTTTATAAAATGAATACTATCTGAGCTTCATGTAAGAGTTGAATAAAATAAAATAGAGTATCAGGAATAGGCATTTAATTCAATGCCTTATAAATTCAAATCTGTTCTTTCTTTTCTCATAGATGAAACGGGTGTATCTGCTGTTCAGTTTGGAAACTCATCTACATCAGTATTAGCTACATTAGCTGCCTTAGCTGAAGCATCTGCTCCGTTGTCTAATTCTTCAGAAACTCCAGGTTAGAAAATCAAGTCAAATGTGTACATTAAAAGTTGCAGATTCAAATACTTACAAAGGCCAGGCAGGTAATAGAAAAGGCTATGTGGGCAAGGTTGAGATTACGTTCAACGAAGAATGTGGGGTGGTGAAGGAAGACATATGCTACTCACCTGTAGTGGATTATAGTCATGTGCCCAGTTTATCAGATGCTCTTTTTTCCACAGGAAGCTGAAAATCTGTATTTTAAAAGAATATTAAATCTTGATATTAAATATTGGCAGGTAATTGAAATTAAAAAACAAACTTGTGTGGTTCACAGAACACATATCTATGTGTCCAGTTTGCCCCTTGTTTTACCAGTTTGTGACCTTTTGTATAAATAAAGTAAATAAATATATATGAAGTTGCTATCCTTTTCATAACTTTTCATTTATGGCAATTAGAATCACATAGATTCTTAGCGACTGACAACTAGGAAATAGCCTACCAAAACCACCATCAAAGGGATGTCTGTTGTTAAATGATGACAAGCAGTATTAATTAATAGCCAGTATAGACAGAGTTTTCCTATATACTTAACCAAAATACTTATTTTTTAAAATTAAAATTTTCTTTTACTGTGGTAAAGTATATATAACATAAAATTTGCCATTTTAGCCATTTTTAAGAATACAGTTCAGTAGCATTAATTATATTCACAATATTGTATAATCATCACCATTCTTTATTTTCAAAGCTGTTTCATTGCCCCAAACAGAAACTTTGTACTCATTAATCAATATTTCCCATTCCTCTCTATTTCCAACCTCTAGTAACCTCTAATATACTTTTTGTCTCTATGAATTTACCTATTTCGATATTTTATATAAATAGAATCTTACAATATTTGTCCTTTTGTGTCTGGTTTATTTTACTCAGCATAATGTTTTCAAAGTTCATCCATTTCATAGAATGTATCAGAACTTCATTTTATTTTATGGTTGAATAATGCTCCATTGTATGTATATATCACCTTTTGTTTATCCATTCATCTGTTGATAAACACTTGGGTTGTTTGCATGTTTTAGCCGTTGTAAATAATGCTGCAGTGAACATTGGTGTACAGGTATC